GCACCCCAAGCCTATAACCCCAGACCTAGACATTCCCAAACAACGACCCAGTCTTGACCTCAGGGATTTTCCACTTTTGGCATGTTGAAAAGTATCTGGAATATTCAACGTCAGAGGGGGTGGGGGTAATATTGGGCGGGGAGGACTACCGTGGGGCTTCCTAGCAGCCTGCACGTAAACTCCAATACAACCCTGCATAACCAGAAACATCCACACATAGCATTACATAACCCTGTACCTGCCCAGATGACCCTACCTATCCGAAACCCTAAACCCTAAAACTCTATATCTTAAACAAGGACTCGGTTTTCCGCGCCTGGCGGCTTCTGTAGCAGCTCCAGCCAGCGCTGCTGGCGCAGGCGCAAATTGCCACCTGTCTCGTTGGGGAAATTCCAGGTTGAGGGTGTAGGGTGCCCAGGGTGCAAGGGGTCTAGGAATTAGGGTTTAAGAAATGGGCGGGGAGTAATTACACGCCTCTGATGACTCATAGGCGTACCTAAGCAGACAACGTGATGAGGGCGAGCATTCACATGTGCATGTGTGGGGAAGCCCACGATCACACGGGTGTTTTTGCCAGAAGTGCGGACATGGGCAGACACATCCGGACTCAGTGCCCGTTTGCCTCCTCTGACCATTAAGCTGGAAGCAAATGTAATTTCGTGCACAAAGTGCCGACAAAGCGAAGCGAACTTCAAGACTTCCCAAAGACAAGAAACTTAAAATCAACCTACATGAGCCCACTAATTCAACTTTCTTCCCCAAACCCTTCCTGTTCCCATCCCACCCTGCCAAACTTGGAGTCCAGGGTACTTCTGTCTTGTCAGAGCCCACAACTCCTCGGTGCAGAGCAAGTTGGTCCAGTGCTTGTCGGAGCCCATCCCGTGGTGGGGCGAGCTGAGGCGCCCGGAGAAGAAGCTGCCGTGCGAGCTCAGGTTCTCTCCCTTCTTCACGTCCATGCAGGCCTCCTTCGTCGAGAGAAGCTGAAGAACCAACAGACTAAAACATAAAAAGATAACCTCATAAACGGACTGGGAATGTGCGAGAGAAAGAGAAATGAAGACAGCAAGAGACGCGGACGGACAAAAGGAAAGGAGAAGAGTAGAGTAGCTGCAGCTGGCCGGGTCCTTTCAATTCTACAAAGGATCCCTCAGGGAAACGTGTACTGGTTTTTCTGCTTCTTCAAGCCAAGACATTTGAGGGACAGAAGAAAGCCATCACAGGCAACCAAATGATCACACAGTCTCCCCCTCTGGCAAAACGTTCGTCAAATCTGGTGTTAGGGCGCCCAGCATTCGGTGGTTTTGTGCGAGGATTGGCTCCAGGGGCCTGAAACCTAGGCTATGGAAGATAAGACAAGAGTGGCAGAGGAGGAAGTGAGAAGTGCCTTCCCGTGCTGTGTCTTCTGATTGGCTACAACTTGATCTGAGACCATGCTGTCGATGTCTCGCTCATCTCACTTGCCAAAAGTTTCCAATGGGTGTCAATGGGTTTGGTTCGTCACTTGCCGAGAGGATAGAATTGCAATGAAATGCAATGCCGACCTCGTACCTGTCGTACCTTCGCTCAAATGACCGTCATTAAGATTCACCCTGAAAGAAAACATGCCAAGGCCCAGAAACCGTCCGCGAGGCCAGAATGTGCTGGTACTGCAGCTGCTCCTCCAGCACCTCCCCGAAGTGGCAGAAGGCTGCCATCGGCAAGCTATGGCAGGTGTCCTCCTTTGTCGTCCTTCTTAAGAAGGCCAAGAAAAGCTTTGTAGCCTGCAGGTCTGGTTCTTTGATGCGTTCAGGAACTCGGCCGGGTTTCCTTCTTGTGGTGGTCCCCCCAGAAAGCAGATACCGTGCGTTTCCAGGGCTCTCTCAACATGGCAATGGACACGAACCTGGTGTTGGAGCTCATGATGTTGCTCCCCATGGCGTTTTGCAACTCCTCTCTTTGCACCTCGCTATCCAAGGCTGAGCCGTTCCAAAAAGGCAAGCGGTGGCACGCTTGCAGCCGCAAATGGCTTTTAGGCTCATTTCCGGGGAGTCCGAGCGTGATGAACTTCCATGTGGTGGTGGCAACTTTCGGCAGCCTGAGACTGAGAGACGCAAAGCGGGGCCTGGACACGGTTGACTACATCAACGAAGCAATCAAAGTAACACTCGCAACGCCCAGCGGCAAGCACACCGCCAGCCTTTCCTGCCGGAGCAGCAGCAGGCCATCTCCACGGCATTTTTGGAGCGCTTTGTCCCGTTGCTGCTTTTGGAGGCTTTGCTGCTTTTTGGTGAAGTTGTAGGCCCTGCTCCGTGGCACTACCATTGGCAGAGTCGTTTCTGTGATCGTACTGGTATGGTTCGCCGTGGCCTGCAAGCTTGAGGAAGTCTGCGCAAATGACTCACTTGGACCCGCTTCTCGAAGGCCACTTGCAGAAACTGAGCCAGACCCATAAGCACTGCGAGGTCATCGCCCCACAGCCCCAAGAATTTCAGGGACCTAGCTGGATCTGGATTTTTCAAGGTTTAAGTGGTTTCAAGCAGAAACACATCTCCGGACAATTCTGTGCGAATGGCATTTCTCTTGGTGACTCTGCTCTGCCAGGGAAGTGTCCACCAAAAGTAGAAAACGTAGAGAGCTAAACCCTAAACCCTAATCATACGTTGCTTTAGACCCTAAACCCTAAACCCTCAGGTTCCAAGATAGAGCAAGCCAAGCCTTCTTCAGAGACCTCCCCAACTTGCAGCCTAAATGGGGTTTAGGGTTTAGGGTTTGGGGTTTAGGGTCAGCAGCTTGGGTTATACTGGGATAATGGAAAGAAAATGGAGACTACTATAATACATATAGGGGTTTTATAGGGATAGTGGAAAAGAAAATGGAAACTAGTTTAATATAATGGGGGTTATATTGAGATAATGGAAACATGCAAACTACTATAGCATATAGGGGTAATGGAAACTAGCATAGCATAAGAGGGGTTATATTGAGCAGCAGACCAGTCAATACAGTGAAGCAACACTACAGCTGCTTGAGGCTTTGTTTGGGGGCTGAAGTTCTCTCAAGTCTCTCTGTTCTAGATTTTGGGGTCATGTTGGCATCTCCAAAACCGGAATATTGTGTTACTCAGCATGCTTTGGTGATCCGCCCCTAAAATACGTGACCCAACAACAAACACCAAACTGCAGTGGACCTGGAGAAGGAGTTGAGGGGTACCAGGATGCGTGGAGTTGATTCTGCTTTGGCTACCCTAGGGCTTTGCTGTTCACATGTGACATGCAAACATATTTTCTCAGCCACTGCAGGTTGTTGAACAAGATAACAAAGTGTTTTCGTCCAGGCAACGGGAACTTGTCCACCTCCCACCCTCCCTCCCACCTCTCCCACCTCTCCCACCTTCCCACCTCCCATCCTCCCACCCACCCGCCCACCTTCCACCCCCACCTTCTCCTCCACCCTCCCACCTGGGATGGTGGGAGGTGGGAGGTGGGCGGTGGGAGGTGGGAAATCGGAGGATCGCCGTAGATCGCTGGAAATCGAATCGATAAATCGATGTCGATCGAATCGATTCGGTCATGGCATGTAATTAGTACTTATGCCATCCCGGCCCAGCCAAAAGCTCTGCGAAAACCAAACGGCTTTCAGCTTTCTACCGCAAACCATGGTTTTGAAGGACATCAGCCGAATTTTTGAAGTTTGGAGTTCCTTTGACTCTGCTATCATTCCACACGGCTTCACATCAAACTTCTTGAAACTGCACAGGCGGATGCTGTCTGAGCTTCTGTACCATTCCCTGTGCTCCTAATAAGGGCCGCTTTACATGGCAACCAGAAATCGGCAGGGACATGTAGCAACCAGGATTTAGGGCATGGGTTTTCCAAGTACGCAATAGCTTAGTACCTGGGACTCGGGCAATAATCAGTACAGGCTTTGGGAAAGTATATGGTCATTGGGCACGTGGACGCATAGGGGTTTTGTCAGAGGCACCGGCTTATTTGCAGTCGGCAAAGCCAGAGCCGGCTTCTCGAAGCTTTGGAGGTAGTTTGTGTATGTCTTAGTTCTCTCTTTGTACACAAGAACTTGTTGGGGTGTGTCTTGCAGCCGTCAACTTTTGAGAAGCCGGCCATTTCTTTGCCGTAGGAGTTCGGCGGGCTCGCCATCTGGGCATGGGCTGATTTTTTCCATCCGCCCAGCTAGCTCAGCCCTGTATGGGCTGGTCTCGGATTTAGGTCCCCACGAGGTGGTGCGTAATGAGTTGCTGTAATGATGTGGATGGTCCCCATCTTGAACAGGATTCAGGCATCTTGTCTATGTCTATGTCGTGACGAATATGATCTTCAGTTCGTCAATGTTATGCACATCTGACTGATATCGGCCGCATTCGGCCGCCCATGGCACCCTTCTAGAGAATGCCATGCGGTCTGCGTCTGCGACGCAGGCTTGAGTTCTCGGGTGAAACGCTGAGTAAGCTATGAATGGCCATCGACATTGCGAAGATGGCAAACAGTAGATTCTTGCAAAGAGGGCCCGCTTGAAGTATGCCCATGGTGGGAATTCCATGCATAAAGGCTTCCACTTGCTGTTTTACAAGACTTCCAATATGTTGGATCAAGCCAACTTGCGACCATTCCTGATCTAAACCACCACGGGAGGGAGGACGAGTGAGGTCGTCATGAACAGGGCCCTTGCGGAAACTGCAAACGATTGGCGGGCTCAACAGGTTCCCCTGAGCTGCTGGAAAAGAAGCGGTTCTGCGCTATACATGGGCTGCTAAGCGCGGCTTAGCCGTGCTCAAACTCAGCTTAATAAGACATCTTAAAACTGGCACCCGGGCCTTGCCAGTCTTCTCGTTTGCCTACATGCATCTAATCCCTACAACTCAAACACCTCAGATGGCTGTGGTAAGCCCTAAACTGCCTTAAGATCTCAAACCCCCGATTAGATCGCTCTTGGTATAGCCCCCGAAACATCAATAGTCCCACGACATGGCCTCTCGAAACATTGGACCATGGAAGTTCGGCCAGGTGTCACGAGACGCTCAACCTTCGAGCGTGCACAGGCCTTAACTGGAGCAAGAGTCCAAGGATCACAGGAGAGGAGTTACATGTGGGGACCTCACATAAGCCGTATATACCTTTTGAGCTTAAGCCCCCACGGTCCCTAAATCCTAAACCCTAAACCCCCGAGATAGTTTCGATGATAATTAAAGGCATTTAGATCTGCAGCGTCAAGAATTTAGAGTTGAGGTCGTAGTTTTGAAGTATGACAAGGGAGCCTCTCAAATTTGTTCCTCTCTCGGGAGTTACTACAATCTGGATTCGACGATTGTGGGGCTTGCGTGGGCCTGAGGAAAATTCAGCAAGATTTTTGGCCCTAGGAGTCCTGAAACGGCTACATGTTGGAATTGGAGTTCGCGAAGCTTAGAGTCTCGATTTTTCCTGAAAAACAGACAATAATGATAAATCTTGCAATCATGCTCCGGTTTTTCCCCAGGTTTGGGATGTCAGGGCACGTTTCCGGGTTCTGGCGCAAGGGGAATGACTGGGATTCCCCTCCCATGCTCCTGTGATATTTCATTCTCTGTTCCTTCCACTAAGGGTCTATTAGACCTTAAGGGTACCTTAATCTACCCTTAATAGGGTCCTAATAAGGAATTTTAGGGTCTAATAGCCCATAGTGGTTGCAGCACTACGTCACCAGGACAAATCAGCGTCAGGTTTATGGGTGGCCCCATAACTGGGTGGTTCCGTGAACCTGTAGAGCTGTGCCAGTTACTGACTGGATCAGACCCTAAACCCTAAACCCTTAACATACCTTGAGCGATGGAGGTCGAAAGTGTCCGCATTCATTGGTTCGATGCTGGAGCCTGGAATGGGGTTGGGCTCCTGGAATGGGGTTGGGCTCGGCAATTTTCGACGCCCGGGTCTTGGCGGTTTTGACCTCAGGCTACTTGCAAACATCATCTAAGATCCCAGAGAGCGCAACATAGCTTCAGTAAGGGATGTCCCTTAAACCATACTCGGACCCTCCATATGATTTAAGCTGAATTCCTTCATTTCGCTGCATTGGGCTCCCTGGGATTAGGAGGAAGGCTCTTGCCAGGCAGCGGGGTCTGCCATGGACGGGCCTGCGGAATTATGTTATCATTACGGTTTGCGGTTCAGGATTTTAGGGTTTTTAGGGTTTACTCCTTGTGACTCCGTAGGAAAGTAGGAAATTTGCTCTGAAATAGCACCGACATACTCCCCAACATGAACCCTTATCATGCATTTCTCCATTCCCGACCCTGGGCCCTCAGCCCTCACTCACCCCCTCCTCAGCACTGCAAAATCTTCAAAAGAAAAATGCCAAGACAACCTCAAGAGCATCTCCGCATAGCACCCGCTCCGCTAAGAAACTTGGGAACACTTTGTTTCTTTCAAAGAGGTGGGATGTAACATCCCTGGAAACCCTACACCCTTAACCGTGAATCCTAAACCCTGCACCCTAAGCCTTAAACCCTGATCGTGCTGGGCGCTCCCTTCTTGATGACACGGTGCCGATCACGAATGCTCTGCCGCCCTCGCAGAGCGGCGGGATCCATACTCACGGTGCCAGGCTCAATCCTGCACTGATGGGAATGGAAAAAAATCTTGAAAAAAAACTACCGCACCATCATTCAGGGTGTAGGGTCAAAGGGACTTCAATAGTAACTTGAGAATGAGAATGATTGTGGTCAGTCCATGGCTGCTTGTTAAGGACACCCGACCCTGCAAGCAGTAACTGCACTGCTGGTTAGTACGGGCTGGAAACATGCATCCAACATCGATAGTAGTCCGCATGTATTTCCGTATTATAGTATTCATAACGCACTCCCGCATCCCGTACTGACCACCAGGAAGCATACGTTCCAGCAGCAAAGGCAGGCAGTCTCAAGAACTTGAAACATGTGCAAGGCAAACATACGGTAACAGGACTCATGTGAAGAGGATTCTGGCAAAAGCTTGCCTACTTGGGTCTTGTCTGCCCCACAATTCCTGGCCAAGAGTTAGGCCGTCAGCCTTTTACATCTCCCATCTACAACGTTGTTGACCGGCATACCCATGAACCAATAGTAACACATTTGGCAAAGAGGTCCACAACTCCTGACTCACGTTCTCATTCTCAGCAAGGTCTTCTCATTATGTTGTATCACTGGGCCAATCACATCATCAAACAATTTGCTAGTTATTGCTGAGTGCTTATCTCGTGACAACCTCATGCTTGATCGTTAGGTCCCGGCTCCCATCTCGCCTTTGCCACGCTTCTGAGTCGTGGCTGCCTGTACCATCAGTACACCTGCACAGCAGCGGGCCAGGTCGTCCACATCCCGGGTTTGAGGTTTAGAGTGACAGTGGACGTCGTGGTATAATGACACGTCAACCCCATCGTCACCTAACAGTGCAACCAGAAGCGACAACTCGCTAACCCGAGATTACGGCTCCCAATGGTACTCTGGCTATGAGTGAAAAGAAAAGTGGAATCAGCATGAGGACTGGTTTTGGAAAATGGCTCTACTCCAGGCAAAAGTAGCCTGGATTCCCAAATAAATAATGTTTTTTCCCCACATCTTGTGCGGGGTTCTAATTATTTCGATGTGCGTCGCCCGGCACCCGCAGCGTGCTCTTCCGTCATGCAAAAATTTTGGACGCGTTGAGGTGAAGTGATGAATTGCGCTCTCGC